CAGTGCTTTATAAACCAGCAGCAGTATTTTGAAATATATTCTTTGACACACAGGAAGCCAGTGTAAAGACTTCAGAACAGGAGTGATGTGATCCACTTTCTTAGTGTTAGTGAGGACTCGAGCAGCAGCGTTCTGAATCAGCTGCAGCTTCCTAATAGATTTTTTAGTGAGACCTGTGAAGACACCATTGCAGTAGTCCAGTCTACTGAAGATAAAAGCATGGACAAGTTTTTCCAAATCCTGCTGTGACATTAGTCTTTTAATCCTAGATATATTCTTTAGGTGATAGTAGGCTGATTTAGTAACAGTTTTAATGTGACTGTTGAAACTCAGGTCAGAGTCCATGACTACACCTAGATTTCTGGCTTTATCTGTTGTTTTGAACATTGCAGGCTGAAGCTCAGCGCTAACTTTTATACGTTCGGCCTTGGCTCCAAAAACCATTACCTCAGTTTTATCTTTGTTTAATTGGAGAAAGTTCTGACACATCCAGTCATTGATTTGTTCAATGCACTTACTCAGTGTTTGAATTGGAGCATAGTCTCCTGGTGAAATTGTTACGTAAATTTGTGTGTCATCTGCATAGCTATGGTAACTTATTTTGTTGTTCTTCATTATCTGAGCCAGTGGTAGCATGTAGATGTTAAAGAGAAGAGGCCCCAAGATGGAGCCTTGAGGAACCCCACATGTCATATTTGTCAACTCAGATGTGTATTTACCTATAGAAACAAAGTTGTTTCTGTCCTTTAAGTAGGATTCAAACCAATTTAGAACTGTTTCCGAAAGTCCCACCCAGTTCTCCAGTCGGTCTAGTAATATGTTGTGGTCAACAGTGTCAAACGCAGCACTGAGATCTAATAATACTAACACTGAAGTTCTGCCACTGTCTGTGTTTAAGTGGATGTCATTAAAGACCTTTACAAGAGCAGTCTCAGTGCTGTGGTTTGGACGAAAGCCTGACTGGAACACATCAAAACAGTTATTTAAATGCAAGAAATTACTCAACTGTTGAAAAACTACTTTTTCAATGATTTTACCTAGAAATGGGAGGTTTGATATGGGCCTGTAATTGTTCATTACTGAAGCATCTAGATTATTCTTTTTTAAGAGCGGTTTAATGACTGCAGTTTTCAGGGCCTGTGGAAAAATACCTGAGTGAAGAGATGTGTTTACTATATGAAGTAGATCTGAGGCCATGCAAGGCAAAACATCTTTGAAAAATCCTGTTGGAATAATATCAAGGCAGCAGGAGGAGGATTTCAGAAGTTGAATAATGTCCTCTAGGTTTTTATCATTAATCTGATGGAATTGTGTCATGGTGTTTGAATTGATGTTAAGTGGAGATAGGGACAACACATTTGCTGTTCCTGATGCAGAGGCACTGACTGCTTGTCTGATTTTCTGAATGTTGTCAGTGAAGAAGGCAAAATCATTGCACACCCTGGTGGATAGAAATTCAGAGGCTACTGACACTGGGGGGTTAGTTAGTCTGTCGACGGTAGCAAACAAGGCACGTGCGTTGTTTTTGTTTTTGATAATGATGTCAGAGAAGAACGATTGTCGTGCGTTTTTGAATTCCAAATTATAAAGGCCAAGTCTCTCTTTATAGATTTCAAAGTGAACCTGGAGATTTGTTTTTCGCCACCTGCGTTCAGCTTTTCGACACTCTCTTTTTTCTGCTCTCACGCTCATGGCCTTTCTCCATGGAGATATTTTCTTGCCAGACACTTCCTTTACCTTAGTTGGAGCAATGGCATCTATAACATTTTTTATTTTTGAATTAAAATGATCTACTAGCTCATTTACTGAGATGTTAGCAGGGGCAAGTGTGGAAGAAAAATTCTGAGTAAACATTTCCCTAGTGTTTTCAGTTAAATATCGCTTTGTGGTTACCTCTTTTTGAACATTTTTGTGAACAGAAATAGAGCTCTCAAAGAAAACACAGGAATGGTCAGAGAGTGCAACATCAGTCACCACAACCTTAGAGATATTCAGACCCTTTGAGATAATTAAGTCCAGAGTGTGCCCCTTATTGTGCGTGGGCTCCGTCACATGCTGAGTCAGTCCATAGCTATCAAGAACACAAAATAGTTCTTTAGCCCCTCTGTCCTGGGGGTTGTCAACATGGATGTTAAAATCACCGACAATAACTCGACGATCAAAGTCAATACACACTATAGACAGCAGTTCAGTAAAGTCATCAAAAAAGCTTGCACAGTATTTGGGTGGTCTATAGATATTTAGGAACAAAGCTCGAGAGGAGCATTTCAGCTGAAGGGCCACATATTCAAAAGAATCAAAGTTTCCATACGATGTCTTCCTGCATTGAAGGGAATCATTGAACAGAATAGCAACTCCACCTCCTTTCTTATGCATTCTTTCCTGACTCATAAAACTAAAGTTGGGAGGGGTTGATTCGATAAGAACAGCTGCACTGTTATTTTGTTCAATCCAAGTTTCTGTTAAAAACATAAAATCGAGATTGTGCTCAGTGATAAAATCATTGATTAAAAATGTTTTTCCTGCCAAAGACCTGACATTTAATAAAGCTAGTTTAAGTTTGTTGGATACACTATTAGTAAGATGTTTTGTGACAAGCTGTGGCTGACATGGAATCACTGCTAAATTTGATAAACTCACACGAACGTTTGAGCACTTCCTGTTTCTAAGCTGATTCACCGCGAGGGTAGTTAGGGTACTTTTTTATTATTCTGTATTTATTCCAGTTTTCATTTTTCTGCACATGAAAATAATACGAGAATAAGAAGAAAGTATAACATAATAAAAGGCAAAAAATATCAAATTAGGTTCTATTTTTAAAATGGTATCAAGGTTTTCTTACATGTGTCGTCCAAGTTGAATTGTCTGATACCATGTCCATGAGTAAATGTGTGTCCAAATGCACCAACAAGAAACACTTTCCAAACAGCTCCTACAACAGATATATACTCAGTCACAAGTCAATCTGAAGTCAACTCAATGTTAGAGGCTGTGGTGCAAACTCACTAATGTGTGAGTCAGATCCTCTCCTGGTCAGTCTGATGGGATCCAGCTCAACACATTCTCCCGGGGGGGGCTCCTCTAAATACCTGTGAGTGTGTGTGTGTGTGTGTGTGTGTGTGTGTGTGTGTGTGTGTGTGTGTGTGTGTGTGTGTGTGTGTGTGTGTGTGTGTGTGTGTGTGTGTGTGTGTGTGTGTGTGTGACGTGTGTGTGTATAAAAGAGTTGAGGGGGTGCATGCTGAGTTACATTGGGGAGCTGCAGCCTCAGCGCTACTCAGCATCAGGGAGGATCCATCACCCAGGACTGGGGGGGGGGGCTGTGAAGCTGCTGGTCTACATGTACAGACTGACGTACAGCACATACACATGCATGAATACACAACATACCCCCCCCAACGTCATACCCAAGGCTGCTGTAGTCCATCCTGCTGCGTGAGAGCGCTGCTTGCTGCTCTGCATGACCACCTGCAGCCTGAAGCCCCTCACACACACACAGCAGGGGAGACAGAAGACCCTCCAGAAGGGATCCAATAAAAAACATGATAAAACTGAACAATGTAAATGTAAAAATAAAAGTTCAGACATTTTGATTGAGGCAGTGACATGATCATCTTAGAGTGAACCTGAGCAAAACACAGCTACACAATTCCCTTTGGGCTTCACAGTAGAAAGTCTAAATGCAGAAAAAAATGCATTTTTAATCTATATTTTCTGAGAAGAACTACAAATATTAGTTGGACAACTGAAAAATACTTATTTTATGCAGTTGTCAGGCTTTCAAGTATGAAGATTTCCTGATGTTTTCTGTTTTATATCATATTATAATGAATATCTTTGGGTCAGGACATTTTTCACTATTTTCTGACATTTTATAGACTAAATTATTCATTTAATAATTAAAGTATTTGACAGATTAATTAATAAAAAACATTTTTAAAAGGTTGCTTTCCTGTGGTGTAATTGTCCTTTTGATGAATCTATGAAGCCATTGAGAGAGAAGAGGATGTTTTAAAGACATGTAGAGGAAACCTATGACCCCATAATGGACATGTGATGATAAACCTAAGAGATTATTGGTCAGATTTGGAGTAATGATTGCCATTTAGTCGGATGGATTCGTCCAAGAGTGGACTTCTTTGTCGTTGGTGTTTATGGCGACATGACATGACCCATTGAACACATGAAGCAGAGATTTATCCTCCACAACACTGAAGTTCAAAGCACGTCATCTGAACTGAACCCACATGGTGTTAGGTCAGGACTGAAAGCTGTCAAATACCTCATTCACACCAACGCAACTCCGGTTCAAGCTCCGTGCTAGAGCTTTTCAGGTTCAGAACCGGTTCTTCGGTTTAGCTCCGGCTCTTTTCAGACTGCCCAGAGTCCGACTGGTGCTGCGTCATCGTTTGCGTCATGACGTAACCGTTTGCGTGCCTGCTTCATAAAGCCAAACCGCTCGGAAACCCCTCACAGCTGACACCGACAACAACAACAATGGCCGATTGTGCTCCAGCTTCCTCTGTACCTCTTCAGAAGACCAGATTCCCAGTAGGTAGCTGGTCTATTCAGTGGACCACTGCTGCTTGTTAAGTTTCTCCATCGTTGTGTACAAGCTGGATAAAACGCGGGCTTTTTGTTGTTGTTCAGGAGTTGATCCCGCCCCTGCCCCCGCCTCGAGGTAAGCGGTTGTGGCCGGACAATTTTTTGGTGCTCGAAATGAACCGGATTCCGGAGCTAAGAGGCTGCTCCGCTGCGGTGTGAACAGGAAAACCCGGTGCTTTTCAAGCTCCAGCTCCAAACCGGCCCTGAAACACCGTTGGTGTGAATGAGGTATGTGATCCTGTTCATGTCAAAGGAAGCTGAATGTCACTCAAAACAAATGAGTGCCCTAACTCCGCTTTGGATATACGAGTGTATGAATTCAATCAGAAGTCGCGCTTTAATTTAATAAACAATGAGCAACCTGCCCCAGGATGAGAAGAAGCTTAACTATCTGCAGG